GGTGCCGGAAGCCGAGCACCTGCAGCAACTCCTTGGCGATGGCGGCCTTTTGGGGGCCGTACCTGTGCCGCCCAACCTCCTGACCGCTGAATTCGTACCCAGGGTCGACGACCTGCAGGATGAACTCGACCGCAAGGTTCGGATAGGGGCCAAACGTCTTGAGGAAGTCGGCGGCCAACTGTCGCACACGGTAGAAGCGTGTCAGCTGATACTTCTCCAGCTGCACCCTCTCTCCCGGGTAGTCCTCGTTCCTGCGGATCCGGGCCTCGATGGCGTCGAATTGACCAGGGGTAATGTCAGGGGCGCTGATCATTTGCTCGAGCAAGAACTTGCCCCTGACCTGATCCCCCCCGCCCGGCGCCCCCCCCTCGGCCAGGTCCAGGACCCGCACCCCCCTCACGACATGGCCGTCGCTCTCCAATAACTCCGTGAACTCCTCGTAAAAGTGCGTCCGGCCATTGAAAAGCTCCTTCTCGTTGTGAGCGAGGAGGCGCGTGGTTGGGCCCTCGCAGAAAACCACCTCACCGACCCTCTCGTCCCGGTTGAGAAACCACTGATACGTCTCCTCGACCCCAAGCCTCGGGACCTGCGCGGCCTTCTTCCCCATCACCGTCCTGTACTCGCTTCCCTCTGGCCCCGTCGTCGGCAGGTTGATGCCCTTCCTGACGAAGCACAGGACCAAGGGGTTGACCAGCTGCCGGACCCGCCCCTTCATCTGGTCGAGCCCCCGCGGGTGCGTGCTTCTCTTGCAGATGTACTCGAACATCCGGTGGAACCATGGCCGGTTAAAGTCGAACCCCGCCTCCACCGTGGGACTGATGATGACGAGTCGCTTTGCCCAGCTCTCGTTCACGTTCCCGAGGCCCCGTTTCACCTCCCCGTGAGAGTGCCGCGTGATGACAAGAATCTGCTCCTCCTCCACGAGCCCCCGCTCTGCCACGACGCTCCCCAGGTCCCGCGCCCTGTCCGACGACATGCTGACCACAAAAACGTTCTGGCCGGCCTCGAGCGCCTCAAAGATCGCGCTCTCCCAGAGCTGGAGCCCCGCCCGCCCTTCGAGGAACTCGAATTGAAGAGGCCGCTCCGGTACGTGCTTGTTGAAGAGCACGGGAGAACAGCGGATCTTGTGCAGCGTCAGGAAGTCAAAGGTCCGCTGCCCCAGATGCCCGTCGAGGCAGATGACCCGGCGCGCGCGGCGAAGCAGCTCGGCGATCAGTCGGATGACGACGAGTCTGGCCGAGAGGGTGTCGGCCGAGAGGTGCGCGAGGATCGACTCGCTCTCGTCGAGTATGAGCAGGTCGAAGGCCGGAGCGCGCGCGTCGTCGCCGAGGAGCCCGGGCAGGCTGTCGGCCTGGGAGATGACGCGCGGGTAGAGCTCCCTGTCCGCGAGAGGCTCGATGAAGCGCCCCCCGACCTCGCGCCCGCGTTGCGTCTTCAATTCGCCGTAGTGCGCAAAGTCTGGGTTCTTCCCGGCTGCATCGCTGGCTTGTGTCTGCTGGTAGGTAATCGCGAGGGCCGTCTCTGGTTGGGGGGGCTCATTGAGGATGGCTCGGAGGGTCGTCGACTTTGCAGTGCCCATGGGGCTCCTGATCAGCGCCGCCTTGTAACGGCCAGCTTGCCACCTGCAAAGAGGAAGCGCTTCGGCGTGAGCCAGCTGAAAGTAGACATGCGAGTCCAACAATCTGCTGATTTGCCACAGCCAAGGAGATTGGTGCTAGCTTCGACCTGCAACATTTCCTTTCAGCATCAATCTGCCTTGAAAAGCCGCTCACATTGCCACCAAGAAAAAGGAGCCAATCCAGAAGCATCCGAATGGCTGGACCACACCTTGCACAAAGCTCGACTAGGAAAAGAGCAGGATCCCTAAAAAACATTGACAGGGTGCGGTCCAGTCAACCGAAACTGATCGCCGCAAGTTTTTCAACGGCCTAGATGGCTGGTCTGATCTACGGACGGGCTGGACCACACGTTGCGTAAAGCTCTCTTTACCGGTTCCCAAGAAACATTGACAGGGTGCGGTCCGATCAACCAAGTCTGCTCGCCACCTGCTTATGAAAGGCCGGATGGCCGGCCTGACTTACGAACGGAGTGGACCACACGTTGCAGATGGCTCGACTCAAGAAAGAGTTGGATCTAGGCTTCTGAACGGCCATACCGACTTACAGCTTGCTGACCCACATCCCGCATCTGGCTCGGCCAAAGGAAAGAGTAGGGTTCCAACGAAAGATTGGCAAGGTGTGGTCCGCACTTGAATGTCCGAGCACTAGCTGTTGGCCCACACCTTGAAAGCCTTAAAAGAGTCAAAGAGTGTGGCCCGTCGCTGTTGGATTCGTCTGATCTAAACTTTAAGGTCTCGCTCACAGACCACGCACAGAGTTCGCACATGCACAGGCAAGCCTGGGACACTGGCGGTCCTTGGTGCGGCTGGTCTTGTCTATAAATAAAGGTCTGACACTCACTTGTTCAAAACATCGTTGAACACGACCATGTCCGTCAGGTCCCGGGCCCCGCTGCGAATCTGCTGCAGGTCCATGGGCGCCGCAGCCAGCGGCTTCTGCTCCAGGTACCGCATGTTCACCTCGACCGCCCCGTCCTTCCAAGTCTCAACGTCCACGTAGAACGGACCAAGGTACCGAGCGGGCAGCTCCTTGCAGCACAAGCCCGTCCCCACATCCATGCGCGCGCTGTCGCACTTTGCGAAGACCGCGTTGCGCTCAGGATTGGCGATGACGAGGATGTCGCGCGAGCCCTCGTGGACGTTCCCCGAATAGCACGGCTCGCTCCGGTCGTGCCAGCTGAAGTTCAGAGAGCTTGCTGACACGGAGCCCCTGCGGTACGCCGTCGGATGCAGGGTCTGGACCAGCTCCGTACACCTCTGAGCCACGTACGCGCTCGCCGTCGTGGCGTTCTGGTATCGAAAGTGCTCGGGCCTGGTGCGGGGGCGTCGGGGCTCGGCTACGACGTCCGGCAGGCTGGCCGGCACCTCGATGGTCTGGACGTGGTCGTCCAGCCAGGTGATGCACGCATCGGCGTACGGCTTGGTCTCGTCCAACGGGAGGAGGCGGCTGCGGGGCGTGGCGGGCTTCGAGCAGTAGGGGAGCCGGATCCCCCGGTTTCTGGTGTACACCGACTGGTCGATGAGCTCGGCATACCGCGGGGGCAGGCGCCGTCCGAGCTCCCTGGCGAAGGTGCCCCGCCCCCTGATGGTCAGTCGGAGCCGCCAGGTTGGAGCGGAAGACGAACTGGGGGGAGTGAGTCGAGACCACCAGGTGCAGGCTAAACTTGCCGCCGGGCCCGTAGTCGCAGGGGAGCCAGTTGAAGGACCCCGGGGACAGCTCGATGCCGTAGTCCTCCCGGAAAATGTCGATGGTGGCCGCCTCGAAGGCCCCAGTGACCGTCTCGAGCGTCTCCCCTTCCGCCAAACCCCCATCCCGCTCAAGGTCGAGGTAGGGCTTGCACGGGCACCCCGCCTTGATCGCCTCCTCCAGGTGACGCTGCCCGCGCAAGAGAGGGTACGCCGTGGGCCAATCGGGATAGGAGCCGAACTCGCGGGAGGGGCACAGGCGCCGGATTTCCACCCGGTGACCGAAGACCTCCCCATACCGTTCTGCAAAAGCCTTGCGGCCCGTCCTTGGAGTCACGGTAGTCGACTGGCTCCCTCGTGAACTTGCGTTTGGCGAAGAAAAAGGTGCCCATCATACGCTTCTTGACGGTGAGCAGCTTGCCGTCATGCTCGCTGTGGACGATGTTTTCCCCGTCAGAGCCTTGACCACGACCGCCTGTGGCAGAAGCGGAAGGGATGCTGCGGGTTCAGATGCGCCCTGCCCGCCTAGTCACCCTTGACATCCGCTGCCTTCGAAGTTCAAAGATCGAGAGCTCCCAACGGAAAAAACATTTACTGCTCTGCCTGTTGTGGAAACAGGCTTCCCCTGCAGCATGGAATACTCTGGAGTTGACTTGGGTCAGCAAAGTGTGGTGTCCGCATGCTTCGAGCAGGGCAGACCAAAGCTCGAAAGTATTAGGACCTGGATCCACTAGACAGCTTTGACGCTTACTTGAACATGCGGAACCTGATCCGCAGCCTGCGCTGAGGACTCTGCCATGCCGGAGGTTGCGCCTGGGGAAAACGCGGACGGGCTGGCCTCTCTCGCTCCTATTGCGCAACGCCTCTCCACCCAACATCTCGTGGCCTGATCCATGATCAGCCTCCGTTGCCCTAAGTACCTGCACAAACACAGGTAGAGCAGCATGAGTGCCGAGTTTGAACGCGTGGCCCGAGAGAGGATGGTACGCTGTCCAAGCTGACAGGCAGGGGATTTTTCACCTTGCTTTGATGGTCCTGATCTGCGCAACTTGATGAGAGTGGGTCAAAAGCTACATTGGAAAAGGAAAGATCCAGCCCGACTTGACCTCAAGATTCGTCTAACGAGGCCGTGCTACTTTTGTAAGGCCCCTTTAAAGACATCAAACAGTATGCGCTCTAATTAAAAGAAGAGATGCTGATAAACATATCTGTCCGTAAGCAAGACCGGTTGCAATTGACTCAGATTCGGCAACTTTCAGCATACCAAAGCGACAAGGGTGTAATTTGCAAGGCTGAACGTTATTCTTACCGCCGCTGAGGGCATGGTCAATGCCTCTTGAGCGGAGTCCGAGTCCGACGACGCCTCGGGTAGCGTGACCTTGCGCCGTCGTTGGGGGGGGCGATCCTCGTCAGACTCGTCGACGATCCTAAGGGAGCTGCGTCGTTTAGTCTCGTCCTTATTTGTTGCAAGCTCGGCATCCAACTCGTCGGTACTCGCAACCAGTCGGTGCTCTCTTGACGATACCTGGGGAAGGGGATGTGAAGGCATGAGCCCCAAGAGCATGGGTACAGAAGGGTTTGCATAAAGGCTTCCAGCAAGGGGTTGGTAAAACCATGTCAAGCCTCTCGCCAGCCGCTAGCTGTGCTTCAACTCGTGACATCGTCTTTGCTGCGAAACCATCAACCAAGTATAGGTGCACATCTGAGGCTAAGCAGTGCATGTGCTTGCCTACTGACACTAGAAGGACTGCCAACTCTAAGATTTGACCGAGCCATCTCGCTTCTGATTCTTTGACGCAACTCACAACCGACTACAACAATTCAGAGATCTTTGTCGGATGGCCGGTCCGACAAGCGGTCCACACCTTGCAGATGGCTTTGAGAGTCAAAACGTGGGTCTCCTAAATAACCAATGACAACATGTGGACCAGAGGAAGAAACTTGAGTGCCCGCCACTTGCTTCTTCATGGGGCGGATGGCTGGTCCGACAAGCGGTCCACGCCTTGCAAATGGCTTCGAGAGAGAAAGGGTGACGGGCCACCGGCTGCAGAGTCTGATCCTGTCCTCTAAAAGGAAGCGCCCTAAAGAAGCAACAAAAGCAGGCACTCACTAGAGATCGTTTGAAGAAGAGAAAAACCACAAACCAAAACTCTGAGATGCTCACCCTGCTGCCGCCGCTCAACGGACTGCTGTCAAGTGAGGCACCCCCTTCGCACCTCATGTCTCCTCCAGTTGCAGGGCTCTTATCCTGTGATGTGCAGCTCTTGTCAGCAGAGAAGTCCGACACAGACTTCGACACATGAATGCGGCGCCCTGCTCGGAGATGGGGACCGGATTGGCTTGCCTGCCTGGGGCCGCGGGGCTTGAATCGCCCCTTCAAGAGCTGGGGGTAGTCCACGGACTCAGAATCACTCCGCATCACTGCGTTGTATCTGCCGAGCGTAACCTCAAAGTCCTGGGAATCGTTGTTTATGAATTTCGATCCTCTGAAGTCTCCTCATCTGACGACTCTTTCTCCATCCCAAATTCTGCCCAGCTCAGGTCATCGCCTTCGCCCTTGGACTCTCACCTGTGCGTTGTCTCCGCTGAGGAGGTCCATTGGCTGGTCGCCGCTGCTGATCGCCTGAAAAAGGAATGCTTGCCATGTGTGAGCGAACTAATCAGGTGAGCAACGAGGGTGGCAAGTCACTTTCTGATGGGCTGATTGCCCACTGCATCACAGACCTCGTATGGCCCAAGCAACGACGGACAAACCGTGCATGAAGAGGTAAGAATCTTTGGTGCTCTTGGGTTTGTGCTGTTGGTCCAGATTTCAGTGCGAAAAGCAGGAACCCAGATAACTGAGCCCCCTAACATGTAAGAGCAGCGCCTGCCAGTGTGAGAAGCTCGTGCTAAATCGACCTTCTTAGGACATCAGCAGCCCGTCTTGAGATGTTTTGGGACTGCGGCCATCCCATGATGGATCCAATCCGGTGGACTGCCCGAGCAGACTTCCCACTCGTCCAAGTTTCGAAAGGTACAAGAATTGTTGAACTGACCTGTGAGCCTTTGCTGGCCGTTGTTTGCTCTTGCACGGCTACTGGCTGCCTGACCTCCTCTCTCTGCCTGACCTCCTCTCTGCGCCTGAGCTCCTCTCTCAACCCGCGCTGGAAGTTGCTGAAATCGTTGACGTCAAACAGGACGTGTAGAATACTTGATGGTGATCGCATGCCCCGGTTTGCAGCGCTACCTTCATGAAATGATGCTTGAGATGGTTGTTGAACGTGGCCGTCTTGGGCAGCAGCTAAATGGGCCGATGGATGCTGCAAACAGTTTGGAAGAGTCTCAGAGGCAAAATCCCTGAGACGCGTGGTGGCCGGAGTGCTTCCAATGGAGCTTTGACAGAAAGCACGGATGGTCTGGTCAAAGGACTGCAAGCGCTAGTGACTCCAGGCCCCAGCATGGAAAGTTTGTCAAACCTCAAGCCGCCTGCAGGAATTCTGCTCATCTTTGCCCAGTGCAGCCCCTTGTCCACTACTGGGCAAATCGAAAAACGCTCAGTTTGGTGAGATTGCTTGCCATACGCGCAAACGAGTGTGCATAAACCGCAGTGACTGTTGGCCCAACTCTTCTGCTTGGATCAGACAACTGACCTGATTAAGCTTCTGCGCCAAGCTGGGCTCCTGATCCATTCTATTGGCTCCTTGCAACGCTGTCTCCCCGGCTGCCATTGACCCTTGCTTGCAGCCAAAGTTGTACCCAGCCACCGTTGACGCACAGGGAATCTCCAGCTGCAAGGAAGATTTTTTGTTGAGTTTCACGAAGCACCACCAGAGTGCTCTAGCAAGAGCTCCTCTATTTCTCACTGTTTGAGAGTATGTCCGCATCAATCCAGGGCTCACTTTTTGGATGACACCCCTATAGTCCAGGAGAGGAGCATGTGAATCCAATGACAGGGTCTGGCACCTACGAGATGACAACATCATCATAAAAGAGAGCACTGCCTGCCAACTTCTCGCAGAAACAAAGGCGTCGCCGGCCTGACTCCATGGCCTGGACTTTGCAGCTGGCTCTGAGAAGGAAAAGCGGTAGATCTTTGTATTCAGTCACAAGGCTTGGCCCAAGATGAGCTGAAGTGGCTTACAAAAATAACCGCACTACATGCAACTTTTGAAGCATGGTCCGCCTGACGGCTGGTCCACACCTTGCAAGAGGCTCAGAGGAGCAAAGAGTGAGTTTCTTGATAAGAATAGACAAGGTGTGGGCCAGCGCACTGAAACTGCCTGCCACATGCCTCTCTATTGCCCGGATGGCCGTCCTGACTTATGGTTGGCTGGTCCACACCTTGTCAATTGTTATTAGGAACTGCCTCCCTGAGCCTTTTGCAAGGTGTGGGCCAGCGCACTGAAACTGCCTGCCACATGCTTCTCTATGGCCCCGACGGCCGGCCTGACTTACGTTTGGCTGGTCCACACCTTGCATGTGGCTCTGGGAGGCAGAGAGTGGGTTTCCTATTAACAATTGACAAGGTGTGGTCCACCACCAGATGTGAGGGGCAAGTTTGCTACGGGACAGCGAACGTCGCCTTGATACTCATAGCAGGGCAACGGGGACCTACCTGTTCAAGCTTTGTCTCTTGCCACGTGGGCTTTCATCGCACTGAGAACAGCACACAATGTGTTGAAGTGCAACCTGTAAGGCAGAGTAGGGCTGAATTGAAGCAGAGGCGCTTTGGTCAGCCAAGATTTACTCACACACCTGCAGGCTGCAGTCACGGAGTCGCAGCAGCTGACAAAGAAGACTTCCTTGGCTGACTTTCTTGTTGACTATGCTATCAGCTGAGAGTATCAAGCGTGTGAAGCTGGAGCATCAAAGAAGCACCAGCCGAGAGCTTGACCCGCTCTTCTTCCTCTGCATGCATGCGACAGACTGTACACCTTGACCTGTTATCACCTGAAGTTTTTGATGCTTCTTACCTGAAGGGAGAGAGCCAGTGAAAGCCGACAGAGCCCCAGAAACTTACCACAGCGCCTGATGCGTGCGCCCTCCTGCTTCCAAACTTGATGCTGTAATCCAAGTCCCTGGGCTGCTTCCAGAACACTGTCAAGAAATGGACCCACTTTTCCCTCCAAAATCAAAGATGAAAATATCTGGCAGCCATGCAGGCTAGCTGCCACAGGACGCCGCGAGGCGCCATGGCCTTGCCTCTGCCACCTGTCCCCAAACCACCTTGGTGCTGACTCAGAATGCACACAAGTCGAGTCAGCAGGCTGATATTTACTTGCTGACAATGGATCTGCCAGCACACAGGTGCAAGAAGGCTAAGAAGGAGCTGCAAGCCACCATTGCTCACAATTGCAGACTCGGTCTGTATTCTTTCAAAGCTGGGGAGCTTCAAAGCTGATTGATTGTATATTGTTCAGAAAGTTGTTGCGAGGGCTGAGAATCGCAAGAGTGAAGTCGGAATGAATGGGAACGGTCCGTAACAGCGCGGTAATGGCAAGGCCTGGGCCCCTATGACTTTGCAGGTCCCTTATGGAACATAGCCTATGCCGAAAGGCTGGGGGCCGAGGTGCCCGGTAAACCGATTGGGATGGGTTGGGTCACGGTGGAAATGCAATGTCGCGCCAACTGGTACTGGCATGCAGGGGGCGGCGAGGGCACGACGGCATCGCTGTTCCGTAGCCTGTAGGTGTTTCCGGTATGGCCGGTTGACGTGGCGCTCTGTGATAGGCTCAAATTTCTGATATATACAAGCTAGCGGTCTGAAAATGACTTCACATTTCAACGAATGAGCACAATTAGGACTGGCCAGCGCTTATTGTTAAGTATGATAGTGTTATTGTTATTGTCACTGTTATTGGATGTATATTGTCTCACAGTCAGCTTCCAAGCTGCATGACAGAGTGTGACAAGTGATCTCCTTGTTAAGCGTAAACTCGTGGTCGTCGGGTTGTAGTTAACAAGTTAAGCGAGCGCTAACGATTTCACAGCATTTTGTCGCAATGGCGCGTTGTGTCTTCCCCTTGGCGGTAAAAAGTTTTAGTCATCAGAATGGCTCCTCGTGAGACATGACATCTAATTTGCGCTGTCCAAATTAGCTTCTCAGGCCGCGGATGATCCATTTAGAGGACAATTTGGATGGCTCTTCGATTTCAACCAGTCTAGATAAAGGCAGCTTGTCTTAATTTTGAAAGTACGTCAATCTCCTGCATGGCTCAGCAAGTACGGGCCATGCGCAGACGGATTTTATAGAAACCTACGACTGTAAAATGTAGAATGATCCGGCCCGTGGTTGCATCGGCTACTTGAAGGCCGGCCCTCAACTCGGCTGGGTCACGGTTTGCATGCACGATTTATATTCAACTCCATGAGAGGCAAGCTGCAATGCATCGGTTCAGGATCTACTGGAGCAAGGTCATCATGGAGAACATGTGCATTATCGTGACAATATGCCCCCCCATAAATTTGAAGAGACGCAATCGCTGAGGAGCAAGGGTCATCATGGAGAACATGTGCATTCCCGTGACTGTAGTCTACCTCGTTAAGAGAGGCATTCACTGAGGTGCATGCACCCTGTGTGAGGTGGCTCAATACAATCTACCAAAGTCAGCAAGAGAACTCACATGCAAGAGTAGACTTCAGAACTACATACGCATCTTACAAGTGATGTACCAAGCGGCAGACGAGCGAAGACCGCCTGCCTAAGCGAGCCTTCTGCTTTTTGTCGGGATCTTTGCACCCGTTTCACAAAAGCTCTCCGCCTTTGGGGGTGTTCTCCGGGGACCCCGCGTCATGTGGGGAGTCGCTCCATACGCTAGAGGCATACTCGAACGAGTCGTGCAGGTACACGTCCATGAGTTTCTTGTCGAAGGTGGGGGAACCCCAGGCGGCGTCCGGCACTTCAACAGACCCTCTCAGGATCCATCCTTTCGTCTCGGCGTCTTTGATCGCCATGTACGCGTGGAATCCGCACACCCGCTTCGCTGGCTGGCAGCTCCCTTCGAATCGCAACTCCTTCATATGAAGAGACGCCCATGTAGGACCGTTCTCGTCCAAGTTCGCAACATCCACCCGCATACCTCCGCCGCTCGTTCCGACCGGCTCTTGACCATTTCTGCCCCCTTGAGGTCTCTGGGGGCCGTTCTCAAGCCCGGACCCCCTGCCACCGTCTTCCTCACCACCCTCTTCAGCCCGGCTGACTTCCTTCACTTCATCTGCACTGCTCCCGCTCGTTATCTTCTTGTCATCGTCCGCCTCGCCCTCCTCCACCATCTCCTGCTCCTGCTCGCAACCCAAGCCTTCGCTTGGCCTGCCCTTCTTCCCACCTCTCCCTGACCCGCTGCTTCCGTTGTGCTTTTTCTCGTCCTTCTCGCCTCTAGACCAGAGATACTTCACTCTTGGTGAAACCCCCGGTTCCCTCAGTTCTGGGTTGAGGAGGTAGACCTGCAAGCCAAGCGCATCGGCTTCTCGAGCAGATTCCAAGAGCCAACTCGACCTGACCGGGATGCGCTAGATAACGCATACAACTCTCCTCTCAACAAGTCCAGTGTTGTTTGCAGATCTGAAATCCTTTAAGAGATGGCGCAGAAGAGTTCGCTGCCTCCATGCCAGAACAAGTCGAGAGAAACCTCCATCATCGCGAAGGTTGACAAAGCTTAGGAGAGTGTCCCTTGTGAGTAGATTTCAAGTGCTCTGAGAAAGTTTGGGTGAGTGAAGAAAATGAGCACACCAGTGTCGAAACTTGCGCAGTCTGCTGGTTTGTCTCTGCATGCTCGGCTTTGGACACTCGTCTGTGAGGAGAAAACCTGCTTCTAGACCAGACAATGTTTTGCAGACTTCGTTTCCACAATATTCTCCATGCCCCTCCCGTGCACAAAGATTCTGACATGTAAGAATCTGCTTCTGCGTATGCAACTCACCTGATACACCGTGTCACCGATCGGAAGCAGGGTCCAGTGCCACTTGTCGAACCGTTCTTCTAACTGGTCGAGCATCAGAATGATGTTGCGGGGGTCATGAACAGTCATATTTGCGTCCTCCTACGAGTGGAGAGAAGGGTGTCAATTTCACTTGTCATGTCCATTCAGATTTTAGAGTCCAAACTGCCTGCAATGCAATCCAGCAAAAGCATCACAGAGTGAAAACAGCCTCATCATAAAAGCAACAAAACACTCATAAGTTTACCAAGCGAGGGATGCGATTGACAAGCAGAACATGCTCTGAGAACAAGGTTGCGGAAGGCTGAGAACCACCAACACATTTGGCGCCCAGGTCTGCCTGTACACATGGCCTGCCTTTATCTTCTTCTCGGGAAACCACAGACCAGTGATCATGCACCGCAGGTAGCCCTTTGGACCACCTCTCTGTGTGTCGCGGTAAGCAGTGACAGCCTTGGGGCGGTACTTCGTTGTACTGGATGCTTTTGACTCAGCTGGTCTGAACTGGTTCAGGAACGCTGCTCGCGCGATCTTGGCTATTGGTGCCAAGTGACTGATGAAACTCTCTGAAATCTTCTCTGAGCTCTTCAAGAGAAGTCGCGAGCTGAGAGTCGATTCTGGCCGGGGCTGCTGAACAGACCGAATGCAGATTCAGCATTCATCTAAGGATGAAGACTGACCTGCTCGCTGATTTGCTGGATCTCTCCATTTGTTCGGGGCAAGACTAAAGAAGATGCAACAGGAGGGGTGCTTTAATAAAATCAATGAGTCTACCGATCCGGGAAGCTCCAGCTCTCAGCTCCATGGCAAGCAGCAGCAATGAGATGTTCAAACGTGCACTAATCAATTGATAAATCTGCAGCCATGCCGAGACAGACTGTTCTGACACTTGCTCTTAGATCAGCGGTTTGCGCTGAGTTTATGGAGTATGGAACCAACCAAAGCAATAAATCCTGCATGAAAACAACCCTTGATGATCGCAAACGACCATTAGGATTGAAGAGGATCCTATATGATGTTCTGATGCAGACTCACAGCAAGCAGATTAATGAGAAAAGAACGAGCAAAACTTGACTACCAAGTTAAAAGTTGCACCGGATGCTGCTGCCAGTCAACTTCCACAGCAGACCACCCCGCTCAAGGATCAAGCAAATCATTCCAGCCTGAGAGTGACACACCGGGGAAGCAAA